AATGAGCTGCCTTCAAGGGTGGTGGGGACAGAAAATTTACTGAGTTCAAGAAAAGATTGGATGAATACATAAGTAGTAAGGGGTGGTTATAGTTGGGAGCTGGAAGGGACATCCTTGATGGTCTAATAAGCTCCTTTTTGTCCTTTTAAAGTTTTATGAATTTATAGCTTTGTTGATTTCTTTTTATGTGATGAGTCACAGCTTAGAAACTACTACTAATAAGTCACTCATTACCCTGGAGTATTTTATGACCTCAGTGGACATAACTTCTGTTGAGGTGCAGATTCCTCCTGTTGAGGTTTTGTTCACCTCTATGTATTAAAGTCAGAATTTGATTTCACAGTCTCATGCTTGTTTGCATCCTTCCTCTGACTCAGCAGTTCAGATATTTTGCATCTGTTACTTGACTGTCCCATTCATTTTACATTTCTTTGTGTGGCTGTTTACAGATGAACCTAGTTTATGGGTTATTACATCCAACTATTTTGTTTTTTATTGTAATGTCTTCTGCATAATTTTTTAATCTTTTTGTCTGGTTACTTGTTTATCATTTTCTGTTCTCATTATATTTTGTAAACTAGCAGCTTTGAAAAGCCACCAGAAATATGAAAAAAATTATATTTCAATAATTAAAAAGTGTTTTACTGGGTTTTTTTACAGCAGTATTTCAAAATTTCAGTTTTGGTTATTAGTGTCATTAATTTGTTTTTGGGAAAACCTTTATCCTTTTGTATATTGAAAGAAAGATGCTTTCAGAGGATGCCAAGGATGCAGAAAGGAGTTTAGTTAGTAAATGTGAGATACTGAATATAAACCCCAACTTGTAGTATTTCTCTTTCACAAGAATCACAAAATAACAATAAGAAAACTAATTCATAGCATTTTACACATACACATTAACAAAGAAACAAAGAAATTATTAAAAATTCAACAGCACATAAGAATGAGTATTAAGTCTTCACTGTGTCACTGTTTCCCTAACGTTTATTACTATCACATTTTTGGAATATTTATGTGAGAAAGATGCATAAAGTTAAGAATGGCACATGCCAATAACATACCGTAGTGATCACATTGAAATACAATAACACTGGGCACAACAGTGTGCTCTAAACAAGATGTTGACCAGAGAGAAGAGCTTAATCTTAACTTGCAGAAACATTACATAGGAAAGAGAGAGTGAAAATTATATTTTAATATCATGGAATATTATCTATAGAATAAGGTAAAATATAAGTTAACTATTTTCAAATAAAATTTAGGTTTATTTTTCATCATCTCTCCGACGTTTGCTATTATTGATTGAGTGTTCTCACTCACATTCAACTTTTAACTTCTGCTGCTGGTGTCAGAAATTTATTGGAAAGATCAGGTACTTGATGTCCCCTGCTTTGGTTAAACATTTCCTCTGATATAGGTAATTTTTGTTATATAGCAGATTTCACAGGTAAGAATTCAGGTGCATTCACTTTAATAGGTATCCTGTCTGGCTTATCCTGTAAGCATTCTCCACTGTAGGATAACTAAATCATGTTTAATCTGTATTCCTAGTCTTCCTGAATGAGTTTGTTCTGTGTAGGAACTGAGGCTGTAACATCACATTAAAACATCCTTCTGTATGACTTTCTTGTGGTCATCTAAGCACAGTTTCAGCAAGCTATTAAGTTATCTTGTGATTCACCCCATCACTGATTGAAATTCAACAGATGTCATTGGCATTGCTACTGCTTCTTTCAGTCCCACCCCCAAAGCAGTATGAAATTTCTAGCTGTAATAATATCACATTTTATAGTAAAATGAATTTTGAATAGATTACATTTTCTATATGCTTCCTGTCCACCTCCCCACACTGGTGTAATTTTTGAGAAAAATTCTGTTGAGTAAAGTTTGAAACACTTGAGAGTTCAATAGAGTTTGAACCATGTGACTGTTGTGCCAGAGGCTTCAAACTGATGGACACAGGAAAGTAACAAAGAGGCTCTAGGGAAATACAGAAGATAAATAGTACTGTTAAGATACTTGATACCTGTAGATTCATTGGGCTGTAAACGTCTGGGAGTTCATGTGCTATGTTATTGACCTATAAATATTCCAGTTAAAGGAAATAAGAACACCTTTTATGAAGAACTCATTGTTATGAGACAGAAGTCTAGATATTGTAATACAAGATTATAAAGAAAACTAGTATAAAAGCCCATCAAAAATGATGGGAAACCATTGTTTATTATTAACGAAAATTATAGAATTTAACTAAAACGAATTTGATTGTACCTTCAAAATGTACTTATACTTCACTTATTCAACAGCCTCGAAATAATTCTTTAGTAAAAACTATGCAGAAAATGAAATTTATTGTGAACAAAAGAATATATGCAATCTGAAAGAGACTTAATTAGCACTCTTGAGCCTTTTCACTATATTCTAGGTCAGGAAGTAGAAAACATACTGCAGACATTTCGACACAAATTTTCAACTCTTTTTTTTTTTTAACTGTACGAAGGATAAAAGGTATTTGGTAGTAATAAACATTTATTTTTCGTTATCTTTTAAGGCCAAGTAAATGATATATATGTTAAAATACCAAAAGAATATTTATTGATTATTTATTCATCACTTAAAACTTTTTTAAACCCTGACTCTATAACATTAGTAATAGTAGGCCTATTTGTAGTTTAATTTAATACATAAATGTAACATAAGGCTTAGCTGAAACACTACTTAGTAAATTTTATTTTGCTTTTATATAACTGAAGTTACCAAACAAATAAAGAATAAAAAAACAAGCCTTTCTAACAATCAACATGAATATATTGAGCATTCAACATAAACAACAGAGTTGGCCTAAGAACAGTCAGGTGATAGTTTTCTTGCTAAGCGATGATATATATTGTTGAGCATTACCAAAAAAGGAGAGTGAAAGTGTTCACAACAGAGTGACAAAGGGAATAAGCCTCTTATAATTTGTGATTGTTTACATGAGATGGAATGGAACAAGGGTTGTACAAGATATAAAACTTTACATAATCAAAAGAAATTACTACATTATTAGAAGAAGTAAACATGTATTCGAATTTCACTTTGTATCTAAAATGTTAATATTGAAAACTGTCTTTGTAAAAGTATCTTACCATAGACAAAAAATACTGTATTCCTGGTAGTTTTTTTCCACACACTTGTTTATAGATAAAACACTGAGAATTTTTTATGTTTTTTCCTTTTAGAACTGTCAGGATTTTTCAAAATATCAGATGTCTAAACTGGTACATCGTAGTCACCTTCAAAAGATGATAAGTGATGTTCAAAAAGAAATGAATGCCCAACAGTCAGGAGAAATATTGTCTGAGTTGTATGCAGAAGAAGGCATTCACGAAGCAGAGTCAAGAAGAATTATTTCAGATGATACTTCCCATTATATTCTCATCAAGAAATCCAAGCGCTCTCCAAAAAAAAGTTGTATTGATCAGTCAAAGGGAAAAGAATCAACCAGTCAAATACCTGAAGAGACTGGAGACAAAAAATCTCCTCAATTTAGAGATGACATTTGTTTGCCAGATGATGAAATTCAAAAATTAACTTCTCTGTTAGGGTGGGATAGCCTTACAAAAAGCTATATACAATCAAGTTCTGTATTTGGAAGTGAATCTTTATCCAGTAAAGATAAAGCTTTATCAGTGGAAGAAGATATAAAAGAATTAGATTTATCACAAGTTCCTTCTTGCTCTTTATCAGAAAGCAAATTAACCATTAAATCTACCTTCCAGGACAGTGATATAAACTACAACAAAAAGAACATGGTGACTGACATTATGTCTGGGTCATGTAAAGAAAAAGCTAACATTATTTCTGAATTGAAAAACCAAGGGCTTTCTTCTTCTTCTCAAAGAGTTGTTGAGCAATCCAATGTTATGTCTGATGAAACCAATGTATCAGTAGCTAAAACTCGTAGTGATAAAAATAATCTTGGCACATTTATGTCAGGTGCACCTACGTTAGCCACAGGTTATAAATACAATTCTGTTCAACATGTGTCAGCTACTAATAATTCCAAAACTTCAAATCTATGTACTGAAACCTGTAAAACTTCTGTTCGTCCAAATATTCCTGTTCTTTCTAGCAGTGGTTTTCATCAGTCTGGTATTAACCAGTTAACTTTTCCCAAACAACAAGTTGAAACTAATGAATCTACCAACTTAAAAGTTGATTCAGTTGCAGATGTTAAACATCCTACTGGTGATCACCAACCATCTGGCACTGAAGATTCTTTAAAGGAAGGTGAAAGTAAATCAATTCATCAGATAGTGAATACAGACATTCCTTTTATACACAGAGGAGATAAAGCACCTTTATGTAAACTAGATCAAAAAGGAGAACTAGCAGAAGACACACATTTTAAATTTAAAGAAGATAAGAAAATTTTGGAATCTGCAGTTTCATCTCTAAAAAGATCTCATGGTGACACCATTTGCAGTGACACAGAGAAATTGAAAGTTTCAAATAAATTTGTAGGACAGGCTATAACAAGTAAGAAGTTTTATAAAAGATATTTTTGTTTGAAGATCAACTGTTATGTTATAATAATAATTTGTAAGGCTGCAAATATCCTTTGTTGTTATGACCAGTGTATATTCAATGTGCTGGTAGCTTCAAAAATATTCTAGACTGTTTTTATCATGAATACTTGTACTATTCTGCTGCTGTTGACATTAAGAATGTTTTCTGTTTTACAGTTGTCATTGCTTCATTAATTACTATAGTTGGATTTTGTTATTCTGACTTACTGTTATCAAAAAGAAAACATATTTTATACTACTACTGTCATAATTTTATTCTAGTCTATTGGTCAAGAACAGTTTTCTTTTGTTATTGATTTTATTGTCATGAATATTCTTATCCTGACTTGCTGTTATCAAGAAAACTAATTCTTTATACTACTACTGTCATAATTTTATTCCAGTCTATCGGTCAAGAAGAGTTGTTGTCATGGATAATGTTATTTTAGAAGGAAAATTATCAATGTATCAGTCCATTAAATGCAACTTTTGTTATTTAGACATTTTATTACCTTTCACTCTAACAAAAAAACCCTGAAACTTTTGTCTTCCAAAGCAAGTTTTGCTTGGAACTTATGTGGTGTCTCTCAATGTAGTTTAATTTTGGTCAAAAGTTATATATATACTTTTGTTTAATGTGATCTCAATAACATAAAAGATATAATAATACCCAAATGGAAAATTATCAAGGAGAGTAATTTTTGAAAATATTAGGGAATGATAAATAACTTTTTATAAAATGTCATAGTAGAGTTTTATTTTAAATAGATTGTTCCTGCCTGTTTCTAAAATGGGAGATGTTTTGGCTTCAGTTCTTTATAGATGTCAAAACTTCTACAACTTCAGAAACAGGCAAGAGCAGTCCATTATAGCCAAAACTCTACTTTATCTACACTGCCTAAAATACCTTTGAAAAAATAAATATCATAGTATAAAAAAGTTTATGCTGTAATATCAAGGAAATTGAAGCTATCATCAAAAAGCAAATGTTCACAAAATGATATTAAGTTGATATTTGTATTAATCTTTTTTTGAATGAGCATTCATAGTTTTATTGCATTAGGAAAGACAAAGATCAGCTAAAATATAAACAAGTTCATTAAAATATTGAGAAATTGACACTGGAAGAAATGTCTAATGAGTATTCCTACAAATTTACAAGATTCTAAAAAGATAGCTATTACTTAAACTTGTATGTTAAAGCAACCATATAAAATATAATCTAGATCAATAATGTGGTTTTACTAGAAGTAATAAATTAATCCAGTTTTCCATAATGAACAAAATTCCAATTGGAATTTTCAAATGGAAACATATACATGTTTTTCATCCACTTTTAGATGAATCGAGCATGGAAGTAAGAATAGATCTAACTGAAACTGCAGTGGAGGATGATCTCTTTCCTGTTGACATTTTCCTGCCAGACAAAGAAGAATTTCAATTAACTGTTGATGTTAAATATGAAGATTTAACAACAGATACACAGAGGAAACCTACACAGGTTATACATACATTTTTAGCATATATATATATATATATATATATATATATATATACACAGTGTTTGTACAAATAGTTGTTCAATTTTGAAATGTAATAAATTTCAAAGAAAAAGATAGCAGTAAGGTACTTGTTATTATAAGTATTTTAACAGGTCCGTCACGAGTCAGTGGGGGACATTTTTGTTGAAAAAAAAACTACCCAATCCGGTTTTTCTTAATTTGAACGGAAATTTTTTAGACATTTTTATTGGCTAAAAAAAAAGTCATTTCCCGTACTCTTCTAGCATTGTGGTTGCAAAAAGTGATTTGAAGTGGTAAGGTGACTGAAAGCTGTCAGTGCTTCACGAGCTTAATGAGCAAGCACAAGAAGCATGGAAGTCTCCAAGTGACATGTAACGGTATTCAGGAACCTTTTAGAACCACCTTGGTAGATATTGTGCAGCAAGCCAAGTACAATATATGTCTGTAGCTGCTTTCAAAGTGTTCCTGTCTGCTCATCATACTGCTAACTATCGAGATGCTTCAGACATCCCTGCCGAATCGCAGGTGAAATTGTTCGTATCACAATTGAAAGCTAAACATAAAAAAAAGGTGATAGCAGAAGCATAAAAGGTTGGCAATTGCTTAATTAATGATGCTGAGAATGTGGCTTTATTGATATATACTGAATTTACTCCCAGTGGGTAGACCTTAGTACTAGCTAGTATGGACACTTGAGAATGCTGTATTTCACTTTAAAATTTATTAATTAACAAACAAAAAGTTGTCTCAAAAAGATACATCCAAAACCGCTCTCTTTGGGAGTTTTTGGATTGAACTTACTTTTAATGTTCATCAAATTGTAGTGTAAAGACACCCCGTGGCTCCTGAGGGACATGTTAAGTTTTATTTCATCTCATCAGTTTTAGCCTAAACTAAGATTCAAGATTTTATTGATAAAAAGTTTGTAAATGGTTACTGTCCAGCAAAGTACAGTCTGTTCTGTGTCATTCAAGGATGTTGTTCTTATGCAGTGCCAATCCCAACAATTCTGTTATGCATAGGCACCATAGAGCATTGTAATAGTGATTATATAAGCAGTTTGTGGACATGTCTCTTAACACTGTTGCCCCATTAACTGAGTCACTAAAATTACATACTTGAACATTCCAGAGAACTTCATCTGCCCACAGTTGAAAGCTAATGATATCGTTGCCCACATTTTTTTCTTCTATTCATGCTGAATATCACCCCATTTTGCACATTATGTTCATGAGGCATATTAAACAGTGTCCTGTATAATGCCATAATCCTAGGCAGTATCCTCTCAAAACCTAATGCCACTGGTTTTTTAACTGTGAAAACAGTCTATAGTTTAAATCCCATGTCCAGTTGTACATACTGATCCCAAAGACTACATCAAGAAAATGCTTGATGCACTGCCAAATCGTGTTCTAGTCAGTTTTGTTTGACATCTACAGAAGTGTTCTGAGGTCAGTAAATGTCATATGGAGGAAATTGTAACTGAGACTATTTAGACCATTGTGTGCTTTGTGGTTTTATCTTTCTCAATTTATAATTGAAATATGTAAATTTTTTTTGTAGGTATCCAGTAATAACACTATAATTTTTCATTAAAGTACATCTAATCCTATAACAATGTAACTTGAGTTTTATTTATTTCATTCCTCAGAATAAATTATACTCTATATATATAGCGTGGAACAATTTTAATTTATATAGTTGTGTTCGGCTGTGAACCTCTGAAACCAGTAGATGAATGTTAGCTTTTGATACAAAGACTGTATTATCATGACAATTAATTGTAAAATTAAGTGCCTTAACTAATCACTTTTTTGTGGCTGATTTATAAAAAAAAATAAACCTTTTTTGTAATAAAAAAATAAGTGTTTTGCATTCTTTTATATAAGAAAATGGATAAGTGGAATTATTAATAGCATGTAACTTGTTATTTTATTAGTTTCTCTCTTCCATTGCTGATAGATAATAAAAGGTTTGTAAACTTTTATCTTATCTCTATAGGAATCTAATTGCAATGAAGTTCGTAAAGAATATAACCCAAACGTTAGCTTGGAAGAATTAGAGACAATGCAAAGACAGCTGCAAATTGAACATGCACAACAAGAACGTCAGGCAGTGACCATTGCTGACCACATGTATCATGAATGCCAAGTAAGTGATAATAATTTTCAATATGAATATATATAATTCTGGTTAGACTGTGGTAAGTCAGCATACTTATGCTGGAGACATGAATTCTGTTAGCAACTAATTATTTGTATAAACAGAAATCTGCTTTGTGGACTAAAGTTTCTTAGATATTTAATATATTACATTTATGCATATAGTGCATGTATACAAATATATTTTTAAAAGAAAGAACACAAGAATAGTCAGATTCAAGTTTTGAAAAATTCATCTATCAGTTTCAAAAAAAAGATAGTTCTATGTCTGTTGGTCCATTCAGAAGTTGATTTTACCCTTGATTAATTAGTATCAAGATGTGTGTGAACTGTAAATTTACTTGGTGTATTAAAAAATTATTTCTGTAATGAAGTATATACACATATCTTTAAATCAGTTAATGCCATTTAACATTTTTTTATTAAAAGACTATATAGAAACTATTCTTCAGTACAATCACACAAAAACTCCTCTACTGGTTGGAGGACAGAAAATACAGGCTGTCCACATTTGAAACAAAGATGTGGTGATAATTGGATGTTATTTTTTTGTTTTGACAAAAACTTTTAAATACAAATATGTATGCATGTAATAGTGCAACACTTGTAACACCCAAAAGTTGAGGATTTGGTCACTGTGATTAAATAGTAACTTCCTTTGGTCATAAACTCCCACTGCTTCATTTCTTACTTTTTAAATTTAAGGAATGGTGGCATATTGAATGCAGTTCAAAGTATGTTTTACTAATTCAGGAAAGATTTACAAATATCACAAACAATGTCAAGATAAGAATTAATTAAGCTGAGATAAAAACTACATTTCAAAACCTTTTCTTTTTATTTCTTCAATGAACAGTGCAACATGATAATAATTTATAGTGTTCCTATGGTTGGTTGAAACAATTTGTTTATTATATAAAATTTATATATATATATGTGTGTGTGTGTGTGTGTATTGTACAAAATTATATCTTATCATGGTCATGTGTAACCAGCTTATAACTTATAAGCAAAAATACATGGTGTAGAAAGCCAAAAGCGTGAAGTGTTATGATTTGCTGCTTATGCCACCATCTGTTTCTCCCAATTTGCTTGTTCTCAGTGATGGATTAGTTTTGTGTTTATAATAAATTTTTCTCAAGATTTAGCACTGTATATTCATATTTAACTCTTAGCATGTGTGCTTTTATTTAATATTTTAAGCATTAATTGTTTCTTTTGGTAAAAAGCATTTGAAAATAGCATTTATTCTTCTACTGTTACTTTAAAGCTTAACATTTATTCCAAGTATTTAATATTTATCAGTGGAAATATTTAAGAACAAAAGTATGATGAAAAACATTAGTGGCAAGGCAATAAATCTAACTTCAGAAATTGGAATATTTAAATACTATTAAAAAACCGTAAAACTACACATTGCATTTAAATCAAAGGACTAAATTCTGTATTGAACAGTATCATACACTAATAAAACAAAATGACAGCATTAAAAATATTTACAGAGAAGATCTGTGCATATAGATGCTTTTATAAAATTATTTGATGCTAAACATTAAATATGATGTCATTACCTAAATTTTCACTAAAGTATAATGGGAGACTATTTTATTTACATAAGGAGTTGCTGCGACTATTTGGTGTACCTTATATCATCAGTCCTCAGGAAGCTGAAGCTCAATGTGCTCAGTTAGATGCCATGGACTTAACCCAGGGAACGATTACAGATGATAGTGATATATGGTTGTTTGGTGGACACAAAGTTTACAAGAACTTCTTCAATCAAGGGAAATTTGTAGAATTCTATAAAGATACAGATATAAAAACTGAACTAGGTAGGATTATTCTCCAAGTTACCAAATTTAACTACATTACCATTTTATGGTTATTTCATGATTCCATATCACTGGTACTTAAAGCTTTAAATTATTTTGAGTTCTAGAATTGCTATTGAATTATTTTGATGACTGCTAGAAGCCTTGATTAGTATGAAAAACTTTCTTAATAATATTATTTTTTGCTAAGGTTGAAATTAATGGAAACTTCTTCATTTTGATATTTGATGTACTGGCAATCCTTTATTAACTATAAAAGTGATGAATCTTGAATTCTAGCTTTAAAGAGTTCAGTGACTGATTATTCAAAACTGTTTTATTCCACCAGCAGCCAAGGTGTTAGTTCAGGTTAAAGTAAAAGTAACACAAATATAATGTATACATATATATTTATCATATATGACACAGTTCTGCACTCACAAGTTATTTCATGCTGTAACATTGAGTATTTTATTTTTTTAAAGTTAGAAATGTTCTGGCAACTTCAAATAAGAATATGATTAAACTTATCACTGTTCATGATTTTTGATTTGTAGCCAGACATGGTGATTATTTTAGTTAGCAAACTAAAGTGTCAAATAAAATATGATACCAATCAAGATTTGAAACTAACTGGATATATAAGTTCAAGCTTTCTGATCAAGAATGAAAAAAATTTAAATTTTAAGACAAAAAAGAAAGTATTTTTAATGTTTTATTTTCAAAACAGTGTCTCACAACTTGAAAAATTATAGAAATATTAAGTCAAAATTTATATAAAAAATTTTATGAAAACTAGATACTATTAAAGTTTGCACTACATTTTATGCAATTTAATTAAGTATTTCCACTATGAGGAAGAAAAATATTAGATGATAACAGCAACACCTCTCCAATGTGGAAAGGTTGCTGATAGAGTGTCCTGTTCTACTGAGAGTGCTGACTGTATTATAGATTTTTATATTAAAAGTACTGTTTATATAATGTGGAGTATGTCATGCTTATACATGACATGAGACCTTTGAAATGTATACTTACTATCAGAGCCACCCAGAGATTTTAGGAGGCTTTGGGCAGAATTCCATATTTGGGACCCCTCATTTCAGCATCAAATATGGTCAGTCTTTTATATATTCCCAAATCGTTTAATCAGCTGTTAATATACATGTATTTTACCGTTGTAGAAATACAACTTGCAAGGCCCCCCTTTCTGGTGATGCCTAGAGCAAATTGCCCACCCTCCCTAAGAGTGGCTGTACTTATTACTAATGCATGTAAAACATTGGAAAAGCATTTTGTGCTGCTTATGTGTGTAAAGTGTACCAGTGTAGTGTAAAAGATTGAGATCTTCTGAATGGTATCAGTTCTTATGTGTATAAAATGTGTAACTGATGGATATAAATGGAACACCTTCCTCCTCTTAATGAGTATTCTCTGTAAGATTGGGGACCATATAATGATATTCAGTAGTTTTAGTTTGTAATGGGTCTGTGTAAGTTCTGTTGTACTACTAATGTTTTGTAGAAAACTGACTCAAAAGTAATCATTACTAATGCAAATAAAATTGGTGATTGCCCTGTACTACTAATGGATATAAGATGGAACACCTTCCTCCTCTTAATGGCTATTCTCTGTAAGATTGGGGACCCTATAATGATATTCAGTAGTTTTAGTTTGTAATGGGTCTGTGTAAGTTCTGTTGTACTACTAAGGGCATTTCAACAACAAAAAATAATATTATACATACATTTCCTTACTACGTGGAGGAGTTTATTTTTTAAGATCAATGTCACATATTAAGAATTCTCGTTTTTTCAGGCTTGGATCGATGCAAAATGATCAGTCTGGCATTACTGACAGGTAGTGACTATACAGAGGGAGTGGAAGGAGTTGGTTATGTCACAGCCATGGAGATCTTGAGTGAATTTCCAGGAGATGGAATGGATTCACTTAAAGCATTCAGGTATAAATCATGAAGACAATATTACATTATAGCTACATACACTCCCAGAAAATAACTGGTTTACTAAATTTTAACCTATTAGAACAGTGTACCATGAATATTCAATTTTTACATCATATTTTCAAAAAGATATACCAGTTTTAGACAACTCTTCTGATAGTCTGCAGAGTCCTTATTAATCTTTTTTTCATCTTCTAATCTTGAGTGATTTTTTTACTCATCAGAATGATCTGTCAACTTTGATATTTATTTACTGAACCCAAAAAAATCTTGTCATCATCATAAACTCTGTAATTTCCATACTTATCCTGCAACTAAATTGTCTGATTTTTCTTTACTAAATTTCATTTATTTGAAGAGTGTAAATCAGTAGATCAAATAATAAATTCACTCTCACTTATTTACTTATTGTTAACTTTTATTAGATAAGTTGCCTTCTCTAATGAATTGTAACATCTATATTTGTATTCTTATAGGTCATGGTGGGATTCTATGAAAAAAGCTGCAAGTCCTCCAGGCAACAAGATACGTTCTAAGCTACAAAAGTTTGATCTGGAACCAGGTTTTCCCAGCCAAATAGTTTTTGATGCTTATCTTTATCCACACGTTGATAACTCTTCTGAGAAATTCTCTTGGGGAATTCCTGACCTCCAACTGCTAAGAGAATATCCTTTTTTTTGATAATGATGAGCAACTTTGATATTAATTTTATATTTTGAAGAAATAATTCAAGAAAAAGTATTCTCACTAAGACATTACATCATATGTTGTTGCAACATTTAGAGTAAAGAACTGATAGAAAAAAATTGGATGAAATCAATCATTGGTGGGATTAACTGCAATATTTATGGTACTTTTGAACTTTTTTTGCATGACTTTTATATTATTATTAGAAACTCATGGACCCAAAAGTACATTGGTACATAGCTTAGAATTTTTTATAGTCAATTTTGTCCAATCTGAGGTCATGCAAAGAATTTCAGAAAGTATTACTTTATTATTAAATAATTCTTGTTCTAAAATGAATGCCTTTTAGAAGCTGGTGAGGCATTTTTTTTAAAGCAGAATATTAAAGTGTGATCATAATTAATCCTCAAATTACCAAGTTTCTTTTTACTGTTCACTACCGTAGAGTCCTTATATTTACAATTGTTGTTGTAACAAATGGCCCATATAAATAGTATTCTGACCACTACTGTGTTCATTGTATCAGCAACCTGAAAAGCTCTAGATTGAGGGAACTGTGATGTTGGTAATGGATATGACAAATATGATGTTGTTGAAATACTGTTATTATACACTCTTCTAATTTTTGAAAATCTGTAAGGGACTAGATTAAGAATGTAGTGTTAAATATATAATAGGCCTAACATAATGTCTTATGACAAATATAATTAACAAATCATGTTGGTGGAGCTGTACCATCAAAACTGCTACAATACTGAAGCATCACTGTAGTCATTACAACTTCAGGATCAATATAAGATGTAGAACATTGTATTACTCATACAGACATTTAGTGAATACCACTTCCATTACACTTGGCCATAACCTCACACCATTTAATTGTTGGTTCTCAGACTTTTGAAAATGCGAGTCTACTGACACAACTCTGCAACCTTTGTGCCAAAGGTTCAAGCATTTTTGGGGAAGATGTTATTTGCTATAATATTCAATATCATTTTCAGGGTGGATGCACTAATTGAAAATAATGGTGGCAGCATTGAACAGCTGCTATTGTAACATTCTCTGGTACCATTTTCAAGAACCAGTGTTCCTGATGCATGTACACAGAATATTTTGTACCCATTTGTTTAACCACCCCGATACAGCTGATACCTCTATAGACAAAGTTATTTGGATAAAATATTATAGGATATTTTTGGCTTGTCAGTTTACACTCCAATTTAATAAGCTATACAAGTATCTTCTGTAATACAAACTCAACGACTTCAGGATAATTATAGATGAAAGTCATCATTGGGAAATTTTTGGCTAATGGATGTTTTTATTGGTACTATTTCTTTCCAATTGAATTTTTGAACTTTAATTCAGAAATTTTTGCAAAATATTTTTATCTAATTTGTCAATCAGTCAATAAAAACTTGTATTAGCCTTAAAATATATTTTACGTATGCTGAAGAAAAGTTTGGGTGGTCAAGGAATAAAATTGATGATCTTTTACTCCCTGTGATGAAGAAAATTAATGAAAGACAGGTTTGTTATGATGTTAACTACAATCTATTCTGTTTTAACTCGAAAAAGATAATACTTGTTTTATTTATGGATGTATTACATTCAAGATTGGATGAAAAGACACTTGAATATGAATTTAATTATAGAAACTTTCATTATTAGTTGTTGTTTTAGTGCAAAGCTACAAAATGGGCTATCTGTGTGTTATCCACAACAGAAAATCAAACCTTGTATATTTTACTGCTGAAAGTCCATAAACTTTTCCACTGAAAAACCTTAAACAATTTATAATTTAATTATTAACTTTGATGTTTTATGTTGTTTGAATACAAAAAGTTTTGTAATTTTATTCAGATTTGTATGAAAAACAGCCTAGTAATTTATTATTTTGCTATTGGTGTTAAGAGTAGTTCATGTTTATTTGTGAGAAGTAATATAAAATAACACCATTTTTATTTTCTCTATATTTCCAAAGAAATCAGAAAATTATTTGAAAAAAAAGTTTAACTAGCATTTTGTAATGAAAGTCTACCTTTTCATCATTTTTTAGAATTTTGTTTATAGTTGTTTCTCTGTTTTAGACACAGGTAAGAATAGACAGCTTTTTCACAGTTCAACTTACCAAAGGAAATAACTTGTTCCCAAGCAAACGACTTCAGTGTGCTTTGACCAAGATCAGGAAACCATCTGTTGACCAGAATGAAGAGAAGGAGCCAGATCCTAAAGGAGAAATGCACAATATTTTAAAAGCACATTCACCTAAACAAAAAGTCAAATGTAGTTCTCAGAAACAAACTTTGAAATATGGTCAGATAGAACCTGTTTTGTCTTCTGCCACTACTACTATAACATCTAACAAGAAAAAGAAATATATGTCTAGAACGGGAAAGATAAAGGATAATCTCACAGAAATATTATTACCTTCAGTGAATGAACTGACCAATCAGAATAGTCAAGTAGCTACAGACTATCCATTGTCCAAAAAAGTAAAACTAAATAAAAAAGCAAAATCAACACAAGTTTATAAGCAAATTGATGTGGTATCACGGAAGTCAAGTCAGAGAATTAGCAAATCTAAAGCAAATGAACTTCTTACTGAACCCCAATTATCCGAAGACAGCACAGAAAGTGAATAATATTTGGAGTTCGTGCAGTTTGTAATATATAAAGATAATATACTGTAGTAGTAAAAACACAGTGCAAAATATAGAAACCTAACATTATACAAAATGGTAAAAGTGCAAGTGTTATGATGAGTATTTCACCTTACTGTTATCAGTGCTAATGAATGAGTATACAATGAAATATTTATACCCAAATAATTTATATTTAAGAAATGTATGGAGATCTCTTTTAGATACCAACTTAGCCGTAAATTTGATTGAATTGTCAATATATTTTTCCAATGAATATAAGTATATCTACATTATACGCTGTATAAATATTTGCTATGTTATTTATGAGCTAAGATTTAAACAACTCATGAAAAAAATCTCATTAACTTTGTGGTTTAAGCAAGTGACCTTCTTGAATTATAAATGAGTAACATGGAACTGGTATATGGAACAATTGTATTTAACAGTTTAAAATATCTTTACAAATGGGAAAATGTAAATATGTGGTATAAATAAAAAAAACAAATAATTACAAGCATTGCAGTTTAATGTGAACTTAATTAAGAAACGCATTTATTAATATCCCATTCATCAACAACACTTTTATTTTATTAAAAAAACTAACTGCCGAAAAGATTCAATTATGTAGAACTAATTAAAATTGCAAAATAAATGAAGCAAAATTTCCAGGTAATAATTAAAAAAATACTTAAATCTATAAGTGATAAGGTTGGGGTTGATATTGATAAAAAAAAACTTCTTTCTAAGGCGATCACTCACCTTTGTACACAGATTAGCTATTTTCCTCTTGAAGTCACACTTTCAGCCTGAGAAACTTCCGTGCCACCGGCTTTGTGAAAACTCCCACCTAAAATTCACTTGAAACACATGAATTTGTGCAAATGCATGATAATGTGCCATGCAGCATAACCCTTCATCAATAGGAGTGTGACACACCTTGTGCAAATGCATGATAATGTGCCATGCAGCATAACCCTTCATCAATAGGAGTGTGACACACCTTGTGCTAATGCATGATAATGTGCCATGCAGCATAACCCTTCATCAATAGGAGTGTGACACACCTTGTGCTAATGCATGATAATGTGCCATGCAGCATAACCCTTCATCAATAGGAGTGTGACAC